TGTTTTCTACTTTGTTTACTATGTTTACATTGAGGGACTCAGTTGGTAGAGTCGTCGTCTCTTAATCTGAAGGTCGAGGGTTCGATGCATGCAGCAGCTCCTGCCGCATCATGTCCGATGTGTCCTTGGGAAAAACACTTAACCCTGAATTGCTCCTGCTGCTTTGTCGGTGGTGTATGGATGTGTATGAAAGGGATTAGTTACTTCACTACATACTAACCTCTGCCATCAGTGTGTGAATGGGTGTGACATGCGGTGTAAAGGCCCTGACACACTAAGCAGGCGGCAAAGAACTAGTGGCGACGAAGGCCGTCTGTGGCATCACCTGACGTCCCCTCACCACGTACGTTCTTATTTTTACAGTCTATGGTTCTGAGCATGAGTGAGAAGAAATAACTCTCCATGCCAGCAGGTGGCGGTAGTCTGTTGTTATGATACAAGAAGACCATTTTGACACCGCTGTCGCTCACCACTCGTATTATAGGTAGCCTACTAATGTAGAATAATGTCTGATAAAAAGTTGAAAATGGCGCTAGGCGTTGTCAGCCCTTGTTCTTTTAGTGGAAAAAGAAAAGAAGAGGCGGAGGAGACAAATAAGAAGAAACCGCACTAATGGGTGAAAGCATGGATACATGGCATGCCCAAGGGGCTTTCCTGAACCTGTGACGAGAAATTTACGGGAAAGAGAAATGAAACCTCCTAACAGCCAATCAGAGAGATCCATTTCACCGAACGCCGACGCCGATTCAACATGTCGAATCGGGCAAAAGGCCGATGGGTAGCGGAAGAGCCTGACACGATGTAAAAAACTAGGGCGACGATCGCTCACCGACGGTCCAACTAGGAGCGACGGTCGACGATCTCCTTGGTGTGTCAGGAACTTTAAAGCACTTTATGAGTAGTCATAATACTAGAAAAGCGCTACACAAGCTCAACTCCATTTACCAAAGTACTTTGTTTACATCACCTTATACACCACCGTCATCTGCAGCACATCTGTTTGTCTGTTGTTTGTTGATTGGTTTGTTATTGTTTGTCATGTGCACTATTTGTGTCTCTGCATCTTGTCCATAAAAAACAATATTACGTTCAGCTAGCTGTCCGAGTAGTTGATAATTAAGTTGACTTGACTGGAGCTCTTGTTTGTACGAGGGTTTTCAGGATACCAGAGTTTTAGACTTTGATAAGATAGTAGAAATCACACAATACCATCCCCCTGTTTCAATACCATAGCAACAATAAATAGAAATCTTTGAGCGTTTTTACATCGATAGTTTGTTTGCTCCGGTCTGAATCATCGACTAGTTTGTTACATTGCTGCATAATTACCTTAAGTTTGGTCGGTGTTCACACAGGCACATGTACAAGTGGACGAAAATTATGTGATGTACTTGGAAAATGCTCTCTGACTGGTTGGAATTTCTTGCAGGAAGAATCCAGTAAGTGAACAAAGACTATTTGACTGGACAGAAAACTACACGATTGAGGTCGGCTCTGCTCATTGGCTTTTATATTGTTTTAAGTTATTCCTGTATGCAAACAATAGAGTTTGAAAATAATGATGGATCAACTGTGGCTGGAAAATAAAATGTTGATGTTCTGGAGTTGATAAAGGTGTTTATCAAGACAGTTATTAGGCAGGATAAGGAGCATGTTAATCCTCCTGAACCAGGACCTGCTCATCCACCTAAAGTGTTTGTGAAGACCGGTCATCTGCCTGAGGTCTTTAATGTTCAGTGATGTTGAAAAGAGAGGGCCCAAGGTTGTCGCTTCCTGCTGTGAGATCGGGGGATCGAGGTCAGTTCCTGTTCTTAATACAAACAAACAGCACCAGAGTCTGAAAATGTTTTGTTTTGTCTGCACCAGGATTTGATTGACTGCTTTCTCACCAACGCAAATGAAATGCTCTAAACGGACAAACAGACTCAAGCTGGTTTCAACCAAACCCAACAGGTGAGGTGTGAAAACGACCCTAGACTCTTAATAATGAATCATTTCTTAATAACAGTGCGGGCAAATTCCTGCACAACCTTTTGGCATCAAAACATTTAGACAGTGTCTCAGTCTTTGGGTTTAAAATACGACTATAGTTTATTTGAGTTTCAGTTATTTTCAATACTTTGATCATTAAAAAGAAACTGTGAACCAAAACTGTTCAATCTGACATCCAGGAATGATCCCGTTTCTAAACAGTTCCTCTGACCACTGAGGGACAGAGCCTCTTGGATACAAAGCGCTGCAGAACTGATTAAAGTAAAGTTTAGGAAACAAGATTTAAAGCTAAGGAATAACATTTATTATTCATTATGATATATTTGTTTGTTTCTAGTCTTTATTAAGATGAACTCTACACAAGTTTTGGTACCAAAAAATACAATTTAGACAGTGTGCAGGACATTTGCACGCTTTGGTTTCAGTATACTCAACAACACACAGATCGATGTTCAATAAACTTTTATTACAGCACACAAATAAAAACAACCAACGAAGGAAAACATCTCAGTTATGGTGCGACAACAGTAAAGCAAGGATTCCTTTGGATACCATAGTGTACCCTCTCTCCACTAAGAAGACGAGGAAACAGTTGAAACAATCATTGGGATGTCAGCAGTGAAAAATCTGATTTGAACCTTTTTATAGGTTAACATTAAAGTGTCAAAAATCAAATAGACAACAAACTGAGAATATTTGCACATGAACTTTGTGTTTGATGTTTATATTAATCTTTTATACTCTTCCAGTGATTATGTGACAAATTAACAAACATTGACAAGTCATATTTATCATGCCTGCTAAAAGAGGACCAGGCCTTTATTCCACATTCCCTGTTGAAAAGTTGTTTGTAAATCTTCACCTACAGAATACATGTCTGTGTTAGCAGATTTGGAAACTGTGGCCACGGTTTTAGAAACTATGCGCAACAGATTGCATTTCATTGTAAATATTGCGGACTTCAGTTTTAATAGACATTTCTTTCTGATCTGCTTGTGATGATCACTCCCTCTACAGTTAACTGTACTCATCAATAAACAGGGCCAGCCTTGAAAATCTGATTGGCTAATTTGCTTTGTCAAAGGCAGGACTTCAGTAAAAATCAACTATTTGGGCCGTGCTGCAAAAGTCTAACCGAGCTTCATTTACCTACCAATATACTCCACTCCATTTGGTGGTTCTTCAAGTTTTGACTTTGGACAAACATCTTCTAGTTGAGTCTTCACAGAACAAACAAACAGAATGTGTGTGTGTGGGCCATTCCAGTAAATAAGTTCTGGATCCGCCCCTGTAAATGAGTCTAACGTTTATTTAAGCTCCAACTCCATCACCAGGGTCACGCTGTCTTACCCTTCTGCTGTGCTAATTTCACAAAATACTAATCTTATTTACAGATTTTTCCTACTTCAGATGTGTTATTTCCTTCATTGGCTTTTACATCACTGTCAGTGGAACTCCTCACTTCCAACCAAAGTAGGCTCAAATTTGAAGAATATCATGATCATAAGGGTCTGAGTCCACTACCCCTGTTTTCTGTGCTGGCTGCATGCGCTCCTTTTCAATCCAAGAACAATTCATTTCAGTTCAGCGCAGAACTGCCTTCAGCGTCAGGTGTTTTTTTTGTCGATGTGGTCACACCGCTCTCAGTTGACTAAAGTTAAACTTTTGGAACGCTGTCACACTTGTCAATGTCACTTCTCCCTCATCTACCAATCAGAATCAAGACGGGGGCAGGATTTCTGATATCAGCTGCGAGATGGAGAAGAGACTAAAGTGAATAATCTTTCTGAGGGAATGATTTCCAGGTGAAGAGCGACAGCTGATGGCAGGACACGTCTCATTTACATTATACTCATGTTTTTTTTTTTTGGTGATATTTCCTTGAAGTAAAATAAAAGATTAAGCAGACAAAACTATCTAAAACATACCTTACAGAGGGATGTGGATATTACCTTTCGTAACCGAGCAACAGTAAGAGCTGCTGGGAAGCGTTCTGAACCTGAGGTTAATGGACACAGCGCCTAAAAACTAGATTTTTTCAGGTAAGCGTTAATTTGAAACCTCTGCAGATGATCTCGAGTTTTATTGAGTGAATCAAGTGAAATGATCAAAAATAAAAAAGTATGCATGAGAATGACGTCATGTCGATTTAGTTTGAGCCTTGATTTTCTGCTTCTGCAAGTTGGTCAGTACTTGAATCTTTGAATTAAAGACTTTTAAGTGAAACATGAATACAGGAAAGAAGGAGGAGGACTACACATCAGCTGCTCTGCACATCAAACCAAGAGGACCAGTTTTTACTCAGGAGATGAAACCCAGACAGGAGTAAGGTCGTCAAAATGTTCAAGACTTTGATTCTTTTCCACGCCCAATGTTTTAATGTGATACAATCTTTGTTATCTTTAGAGTACAGAAGATTGAAATAACTACAGATCTCCAGAAATATATTTAAGCAAAAGCTGCCAGAGAGAGAGGGGGGGAGGGAGGGAGGGAGGGAGGGAGGGAGAGAGAGAGAGAGTGACAGAGAGAGAGAGAGGGGGAGAGAGAGGGAGCGAGAGAGACAGAGAGAGGGAGAGAGAGAGAGAGAAAGAGAGAGGGAGAGAGAGAGGGGGGAGAGAGAGGGAGAGAGAAAGAGAGAGGGGAGAGATAGAGAGAGAGGGACAGGGAGAGAGAGAGAGAGAGAGAGGGAGAGAGAGAGACAGAAAGGCAGAGAGAGAGAGGGGGAGAGAGAGCGAGAGAGAGCGAGCACTGTCTAAATTGCACTAACACAGTGTCAACATTTCGGCACAGACACATTGTCAACACCTTTGTGCAATTTAGGAAGCTTGTAGAAGTTTGTCTGCACTCTTTGGTGATTCAAAACAAGAAATTACACAATATATTTACACAATACCGAAAGACTAGCATTTATATTTTCGTTGCCGTGGTAGCGGTATATTTAATGACTCCTATTGACTTGAATAAATCTAATCTGACTGACAGGAGGTGTGTGAACAGAAACCCTTACGCTATTTGGAATCGTCCTTTATTTTGGATAATACCAATAAGCAGTCACTTGAAATCTTTTGTATTTGTATTTACATACTTCACATTTTTTACACAGGGTTTATGCTTGAACACAATAAAGCATATTTTGTATGGTAACCATGCAAATGAGAGGAGAGAAGGTACCAATCACTGAGCTCCTCACACAGTCTAGCTGCTCGCCAAGGAAGCAACACATTCTAATCTTACATGTCACAATGTCAACCTCCAGTTCTGTTTGTAGCAGACGCGCTGCTGTGATATTCTTTACAAAATATGCAGTATATACAGTGGCATTTACAAGCAACTCTAAAAAAAAGAAAAAGAAAAAAGAAAAAAAAGAATAAAGGAAAAAACAACAACAATCAGTTTCAGTGCAAAAATGCTGCTGAAAGTGGAGCACGGACTCCAAACACAAAGAGAATAGAAACAGTCTCGTTATAAAACGTTTGTCATCAGGAGTCACGTGCAGGTTTTAGGTAAGAGGCGGCCTGCCTCGAGGCTGCAAAGGAACCAATTCATTATTATTGCTGTGCTTTGTGGATAAACTGTATGTGGGTTATGAGATTCTAAAGCTTAATTTCACCCTGAGGAACAAAAAGAAAGAATAATTAGACTGCGAGTCATTGAACTGTTAAATATATAGCATGTGTAAATAATCACTAATAACATCATTCCAGAAGTTCTCTTGTATGAATGAAGTAGTTTGAGAGAGTTGTAAGACGTAACTGTAGTTAAAATCACATAAATAAAGTACTTCACTCTAAAAACGGAGGATTTGAAGTGAGACGAGGAAGGCGGCACGTTTGACCTGATACCACCTTCTTCACATCTGAGCCGTGGCTGCTATGAATGAGTGCAGGTGAGCTAACCGGAGGGAGATTAATGGATAAAATCTGTGAAAGAGTTAAGGCCTGAGGACCATCTTTAGACCCCTATCTCCAACTGGTATAAACATGTCAGATGATTTCTTTTTAAATGATGTTCCCGGACTGTTTACCGTGCTCACACTCCCATCGCTGTGTGTTTTGCTTGCATTCACACCGGATGTATCCAAACAACATGAGAGGTGACTATTTTTTGTTTGACTTATGATGCAAACCCTGAATTAGGATTGCTTCATGCATGGGTCACTCTGAAGAACTCTGAGCCTTTACTGATCACCTGCACAGTCTTGCCAAATAAAGAACAACCACCTTCACTGAGCCGCCCCATGTCTGCATAAATGTGTGTTTTGTGACATGAAAATAACAAATTCATTTCTAGATCGCTGGCCTCCTTTTTCACATTCACATCTGAAACCAGGAAGTGAAGATTCCAAGTACAATCTGATGGTCACCTTCATATCCGTCTCTTCATAGTTAAATCGCGTTTACTGGCTGGGACAGTCATGTCTCGTTTGGGTTGTTTCAAACGTACAATGTGAGGAAGGAAAAAAACAACAGAGAGAGAAACCACCGCGGGGTTCAACAAAACTTCACTCTTTCATGAACATCAGTCTTTCGAGACGTCATCATCCATTCATCTCTTCTTCCATCCATCCATCCATCCATCCAAGGCCTCAGCATCCCTTCATTTCTGCACACGTGAACACAGAAACAGCTCGAGTACGGGGACAATGAGTGCCAGTTCATCTTTGTCAGGTCACATTTTAAACCCATATGTCTGAAGAGAGATGCTGGAAGAAACAGTGAGACGTTTTCATGCCAGTTACCACCTGAAAAGGTTTTTGTAAGGGCGCTGTCTCACACGTAGCTTCACCCCTAAAGTCCAGTTCATTTGACCGTTGTCAAGCACAGCACGGTACGGATTGATGGTGTGACCGCGCCCTAAGTTTCTGATTATGCCGAGGTCAGACACCATATAAGAATGTTTACAGTCCGAACCAGCAGCTGTACGGTTGTTGGACCCGTCAGCCCAGAAAATTGATCATTTTATCATTTTATCCCGTGTAATATGTCATAATGAAGAACAAACATGGCCACATCTGGGACGCCTCACGACCTCCTCACAGAAAGTCTGACATGTTTGATTCCATCACATCAGTGCTATGACCAATTAGAGCTCAGAGCGCTCTGCACGTGCAAGAGTCATGAGCACAAACAAACAAAATGGAGAATCATAAAGAAGAGCTAAAGTGTCACCCATACTGCTGAGTTAATTTAAGAGTATCATAAAGAACGTGGACACAAAGGCATGTAGTCGTTTTTCTTAAAAGGCCACTGTTCAATCAAGAGCCTGTTTGAAATTGTGATTTTACAGCGTTCTTTAATGGGTTTGACTGCTCTCTTCTAAAAGAGGTTTTAGTCTCAATATAGATATGTCGAGCCACGATGGCATGGTGCCACCGGATGGATCCTTCGTTGCCCGGGGGAAAGGCGGATGCATTTGAAGGAGCCTTCAAAGTGTGACAGCCTTCGATACATCTCTGTGATGTAATCAGTCTTCAAATGCCCCCCCCCCACGAATAATGCAGCCCCTAAATTAGGACACAGCTATAAAGTTTTTTTGACTGGACAACGAAATGTGTCGTAGTAAGGTTGACCTTTGACCTCATTGTCCCAGTACTTGCGAGTGTCTCTTCCTGCAGGTTCAATGATTACACTCTCACAGATGTACAAAACATAGTTTGTCTTATCATCGCCATTAAAAATACTTTACAAACATTTTACTGTTCAATCCTGTGAAAGTGTGAAAGTGTGTGGATGGACGTTTGTGTGTGTGTGTGTGTGTGTGTGTGTGTGTGTGTGTGTGTTTGTTATTTACACGGAGTATTCAGTCAGGTATAACAGTAAGGAGAGGATAGGACTTCCTGTGTGTGTGTGTGTGTGTGTGTGTGTGTTCCCTGCATGCTTTGTACATCGTGTGTATTGCTGTGCCTTTATGTGATGTGTGCGTGTCCCTTTTGTCTGTGTGTGTAAATTCCCTGTGTGATTCTTTTATCTGTCACTGTTACGTCGTGTGTCATCGTTTTATAAGGTGTGTTACCTTTGGGAGAGTCTTGGCAGTTCAGTGTGTGCATGTGACTGCATGCCTGTTCCCATCTTTATTTCTTTGAGACCCGTGTGAACATCACTCCTGTGTGTGTGTGTGTGTGTGTGTGTGTGTGTGTCTGTGTGTGTCTGTGTGTTTAGGAGGACATGCCGTTGACCAGGCTCCTCAGCTGTTTGACCACAGTCTCTATCAGCTTCTGCTTGTCTCTGTCGTTCTTCCTGAACTGAGAGAAGATGTTGTTCTTCTTACTCGTGTCCTTCATCCTGGAGAGACAAACACACACACATCAACGTTACACAAACACTCAGGGATCAAGCCGACTTTACTGTTCAGGTTGAATATGTCATCATTATCTTTTCAGCCACAATATACGCTGATATGTCAGAATTTAGTTTGAAGTGGAGGGATTTCAGACTTTTCTTCTGTAGAAGGGAACTAATGAGTACATTCACGCCGAGTTCAAAAAAAAAAAAAAACAATCTGCTGACCTTGAACTCTTAAAAAAAGTGAACGTCTACTGTACGAGATCATTTTAGAATCATTTGTTGTTCTCACACATGCACAAAACTGCAATAAAAAAAATCTTTAGAGCATCAGACTTTATTTTATCCTGCAGAAACTCCCAAACTGACCGGGCAAGCCTTCTGCTAGCAAAATTGTCCATGAATGAATCACCTGTTACTTAATATGGCTTTATCAGTAAAGACTATACACAGATCAGAGCATGCATTACAGAAGCCAAAGAGAAGCAGAGAGGAAGCTGCACCTACCCTCTGTAGACTCTGAACAGCAGCAGAAAAACAGCAGAGAAAAGATTTAGAGGAAGAGAAGAGATGAAACACAACAAGAGGAAGAAGCAGACACAGCTGCCATATCAATGTCTTAAGTTATCATGAGCTGTAATAACTCATGTTCAGAGGTTTATTAAGAGTTACAAAAGTTGTAAACATGTCCATAAATGCTTCATACAATGTTCATTTGTGGAAAGGCTAATATTTCCCTTCATCCCTGTGGCAAGCTGTCAGAGTTAGACTGTTTTTACTGTTTAAATGCACAATTTTCACTCACAATTTTCACTCAGTGCATTTAAAGACAATATGTGTTACATTTTGAAACTACTACTATGTTTTTATTTTAAGTTCAGATGTTGAAATGGTTTCCCTCTGTCCTCGCTCTGAGATCGGCCCTGCTTGCACTTAAATGTTCTCGGCTGGTGCTCAAACTCGTTCCTTAAACTCAGATATTGTAAGCTGCACAGATTTCACTCCAGCTCAGCCTTTTACCAGAAACTCAGGCTGATAACGTCAGGTTGAGAAATAATAATAATAATAATAATAGGTTATTTTCAGGACTTTAGCGCATAGTCCCTGCTCTCACTTAAATGCCTAGATGCAGATAATGTTGTCTGCACATATTTCCAAAACTCAAATTCAACCTTTTCCCACCAACTCAGGTTGATTCAGTTAGCTGGAAGTGTCTGATACAGTGTGAGAACAAGCAAAGCAAATGTAAGCACAATAGGGGACAATCTGAGTGTGAGGGTTTCTGAAAGCGTTACAGTCTTCATTAAAAAATCACTGTCACGCTCTAAAAGTGTTGGAGTCAAACAAACACAGCACAACAACTGTTATATGAAACAGTATGTGTTATGTTTATGTCAATCAAGCCTGCATTTTCTAATGGCCATTAGCAGACCCACACCCTGGCCTTTAGAAAGCCATGCTGACATATTGTTTTCACTCTCCCAGCAGGGTGAAAGTTAGAAATGCACTCACTTCTCCAGCAGAGCCAGGGCTGTAGCCGGGTTCACTCTCAGGTATTTGGAGGTTGGCTGGCCGTAGTCCGCCAGGTAAGTCGACCAATCCCACACCATGAACAGGTCAAGGAGCTGCAACACACACAAAGACATATTGGTACCTTGCACCTTTACAAAAAGTGAAAATTGTTCTTTGCATTGCCTTAAATCTGACAAACGTTTACATTGTTACTCTTCATTTCATATTTGAGATGACAGAAATGTTTCTTTTGAATCACATATTGTGACATATGGCCGTGGTTCAGTGGGTTGTCTCTGAACTGGAGATTAGAGGTTTGATCCCCAGCTCCTGCAGCAACATGTCCGATGTGTCCTTGGGCAAGACCCTTAAACCCAAGTTGCTCCCTCCTCATCTGCGGTGTATGAATGTGTATGAATAGATGAGTTAATACCGATGGTCACCTTACATAGCAGCATCTACCATCAGCGCGTGAATGTGTAGGTGTGACATGCGGTGTAAAAAAACGTTGAGTAGTCAGAAGACTAGAAAAGCGCAAGTGCATTTACATATTAAAATATTTGTTAAAAAAAGAGACATTGGAAGAACCAAAAGTACTTGACATGTACAGTATATCCTCTGACCGCTGCATGACTGGTTTGTGATGTGTGAAACTTTATCTTTATCACCATTATGTTCATCTCTGCTCTTTCGTTTGACTGTGAATATGTCCAAATACATGTAGAATTACATATATGAAGGCAGAAATCTGTCAATATGGTGTTAGACTGTTGCGGCGTCTGTCGTTTTTTCGCTGCATCCTTTTGCATCATGTCTTGCCTCCTGAGACTCCCCATCCATCCTCAGGCTGTGAGGGTCGTGTCACGAGGATTTTTTAAAGAATTTTTCAGGAGTGCATGTGTGAAATCAGCTGAGGTCACATAATGAGATGATAGTAGACATTTGTGCATGTTGGGTCACTGTTAACCTAAGAGGCAGAGACGACAGAGAGAGATTTACTAAGAGACGAAGGGAGACGGGGAGGGGGCTCTGTGTGTTGAGTTTTAAGTGTGAACAGGAACATTAAAATGACCCCCCTACGACCCCCGTTTAACCTGATGGAGATGACCCCCCTACCCCACCCACACACACAGTGTATGCTAATGTCATAGGGTGAAACAGCTGGGTGTTTGGGTCATGTTGAAAGAGCAGTGAAAGAGCAGCTTAGTGATAATAGCATTATTCAGCTGACTGAGACTCCGACACACAGAGAGGCTTAAAGCCATTATTCTCACCTGGAGCTAAGTGATGAGCCACATCTTACCCTCACACCCACTGAACTCTCAACCACTCACAACACTCCACAGGATTTCATCCATTACAGGGAAAAGTCAAGGATCTACATTTTTTGTAGATCCTTCATGGTTTGATTACTAACATTGTCAAAGTTGTGTGCACGCAAGTTCCCCTGTGCAGTTCGGGACATTTTTGTTCTCCTGTGTGCACTGGCTGCTCCTGCAGGGCATTTTGTCCGAGATAAACAACAGATGGAGAGCGTCAGTTTAGGGACTGTATCTTCAGTTTTTGGATTTAACACAGCGATGTCATACATCAACAGCTACAGACTACATCAGGGAGCACAGGCACACGTTCAGCTCACCCCGAAAACGTCAGGAGTTTTGTGCAAGCGTGAAAGCACTTTTAGATTCCTGCAAAAGTCCTGAAGTTTTCGGGGTGAGCTGCATGTCTGTACAAAAACAGTTTTTCACAAAGGCAGAGTGAGCTGATGTGAGAACGCATCAGGATATGATCAGGAGAATTCAGCTCCAAAAAGGTGGGGTTGTAACGTTTATTCCCTGTGATTGGTGCCCGACCATACACAGTCTGCACACACCTGCTACTATCTCGGCGCACAGAATTAAACTGATGCATTATGTTTTTTGTTCTCCTGTAGGTTCTTCTTCACTCTTTTGCTTAGACTATGATTCTGTTGAAGTACATATAGCATTGCCATGAAGGCAAATATTCTCATAGCTGACTCTGTTGCTTGGGCGGCCACTCTTGCATCGCTCTTTTTATTTCACATCTTGCCTCAGGGGAACCACAATCTGTGAGGTGCATGTGTGAACTACCAGATCAGGAGATCGAAACATTTTTAGGAGTGCACATGTGAAAGCACTATTAGTGACTTTCTGCAATGAGCTCTGGATAGATTTTGAGATAATGGGATTGCTGAAACAATGGGCTCTTGCTTTTCAAGAAGTGAAATCATGTGTCTCAGCGCAAGCCTAAATACAGAACATGTTATATTTTTAAATCCTAATATATTGGGATACTACAATTCAGAGTCACTTCCCAGCTCTCTACAATGTCTTTTCTAAGAGATTTGTGTAAACAATTGTTTTAGAGGACGTGCAGGTGACCAATAGTTTCAGATGCAGCATGTCTTGCTAGAGGATCACAAGTAGCTCTTTTCTGGGCTCCGGTAAACCGCAGGTCACACCCATTCACACCCATTCACACACTGATGGTAGAGGCTGCCATGTAAAGAGACCATCAGAAGTAACTAATCCATTCATACACATTAATACACCTCAGATGAAGCAGGGGACATGTGGCTGCAGGAGCTGGGGATCAAACCCCCGACCTTCTGGTTGAGAGATGACCGACTCTACCAACTGAGCCACAGCCGCTCTGCTCATGTCGTGTATTGGATACAGAAATCCCAAATATTAAAAATGCATTCATATTTTCTGATGAATATTTCATTTTTCCACTGTCAATGGATTTATATCTAGCAGTAAAAATATGGTCATTTTTTAAACATGCACTCTTCATTTTGAGAAAATTTCTGAACATAGTTCTGATTACAAGATCCTGATTGACTGATGATTCTATGCAGAATCTCGAGCTTTGAATGAAGACCAAGCTGCATGTAAAGCCTCCGTCCCACATGTTGGCTTCATAGGTCTCAAAGCTCCTGAGAGACCTGTCAACCATACACGTGGTCACATGGACTCGAAAGTGGCCGATGTATTCTATTCCATTCAAATCAATTAAATTCTATTCAAAAAACTTTATTTGTCCCCGAGGGGCAATTCAAAGGCACACAGAGCAGTAAATTAACAACAGTGCAGGTAGACGAAACATTTTAACTTAAAAATATTTAAAGCTTAAAAACTTAACTTAAAATACAAAATATAAAAAGAGTAGATATAAGTGGACAGTGATCGGACTGACAGATTTAAACAGAACTATATGCAGTAAAAAGATGTAAACAGAACTATGTGCAGTAAAAAGATGTAAACAGAACTATGTGCAGTAAAAAGATGTAAACAGAACTATATGCAGTAAAAAGATGTAAACAGAACTATGTGCAGTAAAAAGATGTAAACAGAACTATGTGCAGTAAAAAGATGTAAACAGAACTATATGCAGTAAAAAGATGTAAACAGAACTATGTGCAGTAAAGCGAGGTAGTTGCTCTCTAAATCTGATCTAATCACTCGACAATAACAATGCAGACAGTCTGTCCTGAAGATCTGATGTTAGAAACAGATCTGATTTGCCTGCAGTCTAAACAAAGACAAGGAGACAGTCTGTCTCGTCTCTAATAGGCCTCAACTGAGTTCAAATGAGCACAATATTACACTCAGTCTGATGGTTATTTGTTCGATTATGTTTTTTGGCACGTGTCAAGACTTCTTTTGAGAGATCAAATTTTTTTGCACAAACACTTTATTGTCCATCCTCAAAAGCTGTTTTTACATGATATACACTCCTGAAAATTTCAGCTTTAGAGTACATGGATTCACATTATCAGCGTGTTGTAGTTTCAGAACACATAAAAGTCAGATATGCCTTAAAATGTTTCTATAGTGGCTACACTTGTAGAGTAAGTACACAATGAAGTTGCGAGAAGACGGCGAGCTCCTTCTAATTTCAGAAAGTTAAAGGGGGTCCCTAAGCCTGATGTGAAACCTTCTTAGTCAAGGTTTGTTTAAAGTAAGTGCATTAGCATTACCTCTGTGAGCATAGCACACAAATCAACCCGGTGTTTCTTTGAAAACTCATTATACGCCCTTAGATATGTTTGACTTTCAATCACTCTAAATGGTTACAGGATAACGATCTAAAAAGCACATATAGTTTAGAAATCAGCCGCCATAAGATAAAGGGAAAGTTCAGGATGACCTCTGAGTAACCTCAGCCTGTGGATGACTCCTTTTACCTAAGGCTAGGATTAACATGTCAACCAAGCAGCCTGTATAAAAAGGTGTGTGATGATCTGCACTGCAGGAAAATTAGCTCTATGGCAAATAAGGAATCCGGTAAGGCTGAGAGGGTCAGGTCCTTTGAGGGGTTAGCAAGTATGTTCTCTCTACGATGAAAACTTCATCTTTAATATCTACACTTAAATTTAAGAGTGAAGTAGCCCTTTAATCTCCCACTAGTTTTGTGGACTTTATATGAATTATGATGAAATTAAAGTCCTAATAATCTTGCAAATGTGGACGCCCTGTGCACAGCACTGTCAGTCCTTATATCTTGGTGCAAGTGATGGCAGGAAACATCATCTTGATAGCAAATGAGAAGATTCACCGAACACAAGAAGGCTGAATTATTCAAACAAACAAAGAAAAAGAGCAACATTGAAATAAAAAAAAAGGTATAGGTGCAGGCTGATATAACAGAAGTCCCGCCTCTTACAAGGGGAATATCCAATCATAGTTTGGGATGTGGCCAATCAGTGGCTAACCCTGGTCCCCCAAGTTTCGGCTTTGGTGAACTCTATGATATCCTGTTAACAAGACATTAGGCAGATGTTCTTTGCTCTCTGTGTAAAATAAAAAAGGATGAAAGTTTTCCATTGTAATTAATTAAAAAAACTAAGGGTGTGCTTTCAAAGCACTAAGATAGTACGATAGGAAACAATACACTTTTCTCCCCTAGGGAAGTTGTCTTGGGGAAATTTGAGGTCCAAGACAACTTTCCCCAAACAAACAATTTTGGGCAAGAAAATAAACAGATTTATACATCATTCAGCATTTTTGACGTATTGTCAAACTTGTAAATTCCTGACCTCTGCAAAAATCTTCACATTTAAAATGTTTGGTCTTCTTTCAACAAGTTCCCTAAGTATGAGTGTGACCTGGACTGGAGGGCAGAGCCAAGCCTCCCTCAGGCTCAGATTAACAGGTCAACACAGAAACAAGTTAATGAGACCCAGCAACACTTTACATACCACTGCTGTTTACTACAGAAAAGGGGGCAGACGGTGGGTGCTGTTGTTGAAAAAGGTATTTTTCTTAAGCAGGTGAACTACAGGACAAGTGAAAGTTGAAAAGGTCACACAGGAGAAGCCTGGGAAATAAAATACTGTTGGATGCAGAGTGCTGAGATGTGGGTCTGCAGAAAAGTTTGGGGGAAATATTTAAGATACAGAAACTAGTTTGTAAGTTTTAACTTTAAATGTTCACATAAATTATGGGCCACTTCATTTCTTTTAAGATTTATTTGTGGACTTTATTTTGATAGGATAGTGGAGACAGAGAGTGGGGAACAACATGCGGGAAAGGAGCCACATGTCGGACTTGAACCCGGGCCCAACGCTTGGAAGACTGCCTCCGTATATATTGCACGACCTAACAGCGAGGCCATCTGCACCCCGGCCACCTTTCTGACATCTTTTTACCATCTTTATGTGCTGGTACAATGGATCAGCTCTAAAGAAGAGTGATTCTTGGGGCGCTGGTGGCGCAATGGGTAGTGCGCGTCCCATGTACGGAGGCAGTAGTCCTCCAAGCGGGCGGCCCAGGTTTGAATCCAACCTGTGGCTCCTTTCCCGCATGTCAATCTCTATCCACTGTCCTATCTCTCCAATAAAGGCACAAAAATATATCTTGAAAAAAAAGAAGAAGAGTGATTCTTTTGTTCAAGGAGCCTTTAATTACTGATTACTGGTCGGGAAAAGTGAGAGCCGATCAGAACTGGTCACTGGAGGCAGATTTGGAGATAAATGATCTGTCCAGGTCAAAACAGCGGTGCTTCGAGCTGTTGATCAAATCAGCCATGTAGTCAATAATACCAAGGGTAAACTGCCTGTGTGTTTGTGTACACAGGTGAGTTCATGTCTTCTACGCTGTGCAGTTAGAAAGTTTACCTGTCGTAGGTCGATGAAGGCCAGCTGGAGCGTGTCTCCTTGAAAGCCAGGGACCGGCTCAGAACTGGCAAACACTAACAAGAAGCAAAAACAACACACCCAATATTATAAGACTCACTCATGTAAAGTGACACATCCAAATTACATTTTTGTACTCACGTTCACATTGAATGACATCTAGGTTGAATTGCTGAATGGCCCCCATGCTGATCTGTTTGAGTTCTGTGTCCAGCAGCATCTGCATCAGTGATGTGGAAAGATGCTTGCAGGCTGACATACAAGCTGTCTGGGCCACTTTACCCTGCAGAGCGAAGGACAGCGAGAAGGAGACGGAAGAACAAGAGAGGTGACAGAGGTGAGGAGGATGAAAATGAGGAAGGACAGATTTAAGAGTGTGTGGAAGATTAAGGTGAGGGAGTGGAGGAGAAACATGAGAGTAAAAGAAGGCAGGGAGACGGGTGGTATGAGAAGACAGACGGGGGGAACATGAAGGAAAAGGGGGAGAGATCGTGCAAGAGAGAAAGGGATGGGGAATAAGAGAGTGTTAAAAGGAAAAATGACAAAGAGGATCATAAAGAGGTACAAAAGAGATTTTGAAAAACAGAGGTTTAAATGGGGAAAGAAAAACGGACGATTTTTGGGAAGTGGATATAAAGGTTATAAAGATTTTGGGGGAAAAAGAGCAACAAGTTAAAAAGATCAAAAGTTAGCGCCATCTTTAAGACTTCATTAACAGAGAAACAGGTGTACATGTAATATTTAAGGCACACAACAGGCACCTGCGACAGTCCATAATCTAGCCAGGGGGTCATGGACTTCTTAAAGCTATACAGCTTCTGACCTCCTAAGTGAAGGATAGCCATCAGGCCAAAAACAAAGGAAGCTTTTAGCCGCTGGCTGGTAGCACCACTTATGTCACCAGCCTAGCTACATCAAATCGGATGTGGCACTCTCTGGTGTGGGTGTGAGGGATTTAAGATGTATTTAGACTGAAAATAAATAGAATATTTTTGTCTTGCGTCTGACGGATGTAATCAAGGCATAAGTCAGTTTGGGTGTGGACTTTATGACTTGCCAGGAGAAATACCTGCGAAAAACTGATTCTCAACAATGCTGTTTTCACATATGCACAAAACTCCTGAAATGTTCAGGGTGAGCTGCATGTGTGAATGCAAACGTCTGGAATTTATTTTTCAACGCGACTTTACCCAGACTCTTTTCCTGCAAGCCCCCTAATAACATTCCTGCATTAGGTCAGGGTAAGCTAGGAGCAAGACACTTTCAATGCACTGATTTGTATCCACAATATTGATACAAATTAGAACGGTAACAGTTGATTACATTAACGATGAATGAAGCATTTATGGTGCTTTAAATTCCCCATCGTGTGTTCAATGCGAAACATCACACATTAAATCCAAATCACAGATATCCCAATGCATGCAGGAAGGGCACAACATGAGCACATTCAATAATGAACACAAGGAACACTCCACAAACGTACACAGCATCAAGTTTCAAAAAGAACAATCGTGAGCATTTTTACGAAAGGCCCCCGTGTCCACCTGGCGTTTTTTCCGGGCAGAAAAGTGCTGGCTGTGCGCTCGGGAGTGTCTTCATGAAGCGTTTGTGCACTGAGATGAAAACAGCTCCGTCCTGTCTCTATGACAACAGTCTGTTGACAACGGCCGCTGTATGACCGACACTGCTCCGTTACCTTTTACGGCATGTTTTATATTTAATATCATTTTTTACCCGATCAGACACGGAGCAAAGAAGATGTGGGTACAAGACATGATCTGTAGGCGGCAAAACTACAGGGAATATTATACATTTGGAAAAGAACGCCGGTGATGTCAACAACGCCTTTTCTGAAAAGTTGAAATATTTTCAACTTGAATGCTCGGAGCGCTTTTTCTCCGGACGGCCGATTTCTGCTGCGAACGCTCTCTACTCATTGAAAACAACTGAAAAAGACGCAGGTGCTGAGAAATAAACGCTAGGTGGACAAAGGGCCTAACACACAATGGTTGCTGGGTGACTTTTGTGACGAGGTAGGTTTTTTATCTTATATACCACCTTGAAACTCATGAAATGTCTTTAACCTGAGGGTTTTAAACGCTGACTAACTTAGAATGGATCATAGTTAGTGTTTGTGGGAACTGAAAAAGCAGATCAACAAAATCCGTACTCACAGATCATGCAAAAATTAAAAACAACCTCTCAAACACAGGGATGATGTGGTGAACCCTCAATGTCAAGGAAAGTGTAGTTCTATTAATTCACATAAGGATATTACCACAGTTAGACATAATACAACTGATTCCTGTGAAATATATGGGGGTACATTATTTTTTTACAACTGATAGCAAAAGGTTTTGACATTAGAAAGTCAATCAAATGGTGCAACATAAACCATGCATAGACAATCCATGTATATAATATAAAATGTAATATTTATGTATATATAAATATACGGTATGTATATACTCATTATATACATGGCTTGTCTTTGTTCCACAACATCCCTTTTTACACCCGTCATGCTGACCATAAAGTGGCATACTGGCAGTTCCACATGTAGTGTACTGAAAAAGAACGATCAGCATGTGACACATCTCTACTGATGGCTGGTATTATATTACCTCACATAAACTGTCGACTCTACGTAGACTGCGAGCCAACTTGGAGAGTAATCATTCACACAAAAGTGGCTGCTTACACTAAACATTGACATGGAGTAAGTAATTTCAAAATGTTTCTATCTAAATGTAGTTGTTGATTTGGGGGGAATTCACCTCGCTAGTAGCTCCATGAATTGTGCATCAATTGCCCCCCGCTATGTGCTCTGACTGAAGGTCAAATGATATTCAATCTCAAACACGCCCATGAAGTTGTCCTCGAAGCATTTTGCTCTTGTTTTGGTGTCTGATTGTGAAGATGAGCTGCGCTCTCATGATGACAGATGTTGAGCTGAGGAAAGGGAGGGGACAGACTCTCCAGATGTGATACAACTGTAATTTTCGTTCAAACAACAAATTCTGTTGTTTTCTTGATGGAAGGAAATTTTAATCATGACGTCCAATACAAAAACTGCGGGGCAGTTACCACCTACTCTCAGGAGTGGTGAATACATTCACTGCCACTGCAAGTGTTTTTTAGCACTCTCATTGTGAATTACATGCTATTTTTTTAAAACCATAACCATTGCACAGTTGAGGGCGCATTTAACCCTTTGAGTACTGCACAATCATTTTGTGAATCAGAACCTGAGCTTTGAGAAAGTGGTCTTTATAATGCTAGCTTGGTGTTGAAGTGAAGAAAAGGAAAGGAAAATATAGATTTAAACAAATAGCAATGGCATGATCTAATTGATGGTTGGAGATTGAACACTACATTTTATGGTGTTTTATCTGATCACTTAGGGCAGAATGTGGCCTACGTTAAAAATAATATCACAATATAGCTGTTAGACAAAGATTGATAAAGTGCAAGACAATCAAATGGTGAAGGTGAAGAATATAAAGGCCCTTAAAAAGATAAAAAGCAGGTTTAATGTGTGTATTCATTGTTTGTTGGAGTCAGTTTCATCTTGTGATGTGGTGAGTAGAAAACGGAAGGGGAGAAAAATTAGGCTTTCACTTCTTATAAAAAAAAAAAAATGGAAAGACTGGATGATCTGTCAACGTGTGATGGGTAATGACCAGAATACTAAGGCACTTCCAATAATGCAGCTAGAGAAGCTTACGGGAATGGTTTCAATAGTGGAGAACACAAACAAATAATCCTAAGTGATTGAAGTAATTTTTAAAAAGAGGTTGAGATAAGAAAATACAATTGGCAAACATCTAGTGTTCCTAAGAGGACCTTCCTCACCCCCCTGGATGAGACCATTTATTGCTAAAACTCCATCCGTCAATCTCACACCTCCAGGTTACAACAAGTGCCAAAAGAGCCGACAACAAGCCCAGAGAAGTGGAGCTTCCAAAGTCAGACAACAGCATGCTTTTCATCTCCACTCCACCTGCAGAATGGCAGTAAAGTATTGTAACAGCCAGGCAGTTATACTCACCGACATCGATGCATGGTCATTGTTGTTATTCTGAGCAGAGACACCCCCAAACCAACCAAAAATGGAAGAGGGGGAGGGAAAGAGGGAAAGGAAAGGAAAAGAAATGTGCCAACAATAAATGGACAGGAGGAGGTAAATTCAGCTAGAGATATCTTGCATGCTTGACAAGTCAAATAAATTAAGAAGTAAAACTGCTAGTAAAAGAAATTAGTCACAGAACGGTTAATTACAGGGGGTGTAGATGGGAGTACAGGGGACATTCTTGAAAATAAAAAATAAATTAATAAAACTGACAGTCATTCAAGACACAACAAGAGACGTTGAAAAGTAGAGGAGGCAGGTGGCCCACTGAGAGTGGATCCAAACAGGCTGAAGCTGTCTGCCATGAGTGCTGAAACACTCAGAGTCCTTCACACGTTATCTCATGAAACACTCTCTGATATCAATGTGTTCAAAGGCAGACTACGACGCAGTAACAGCCCAGTTAACATGCTTATGGACGGACCACCTCTGCATCACACACATAGTACAGCTTTAATGTTACCAGTGTAGCAGTTCTCAGAGAGTACACACATTTTATAGGGATGTGATGAACATGAAGTAAAACAACAGTAAAGGTTGGGAGATTTAAGGATGAAGGACTGAAATAATAAAATATGGGTTTATCACATCCCTATGACCAAAAAAAAATCAACATTTAACAGTGCCACAAACAATGTCAAAGTGTCTAAAACCAAGAAAACAATGTCCCACAGGAGAGTGATGGCATGGTTCAATGGGTCAGACGAGGATGGTTGGTGGGTATGACTCACCGGGAGATGTGTGAAGACCTGGAAAGTAGAGCGCAGGAAGTTGATCAGGTCCATGAGGTATCCAGAGGCTCGACCATCCGACTCCGCCATGCCCCACTCATAGTCTGCTAGCTGGATGAACTCGTCAATCTTCTGGTTAAGTTTGGTGTAAATCTCTCCTTCTGCAGCGTGACGAGCGTCCTGAAAAATATGTTCTATGAGCTGCTTTGACAAGAAAACAGGACTAAATACTGTTCTCCTGACAGCAATTAGGAAAAGAGACATACGTTTACAATCAAACACCTGGAAACTGTGAGGAAATCTACTTGTCACTTTCCCGCTTCATATACAATGGCATGGTTAGGTCTGGAGCAATGTGAGTGCAGGCCAGCAAGGGAATGGGTAGGGGGGGCAATCGTGCTTTGGCGTTCGTTAGGCTAGTCATGGTTTTGGCCATATTCACAATATATTTACATGGCAGCTATTCTACTGCTGTAGCACGCTCAGGATTGGGAAATTCAAAACCTCTAAGATGTTATACTGATGTGTTTCAGGTTTGCAAAATGTAGAAACACAGCGGATCAGACAAAGCCTTGCCTCTCAGTTAGCGAACTAGCATTAACATTAGCTTGGAATTTACAGCTGATTTTGGCAGTAATAAAACAGCAATGATAAGGAATCACCCCGGCAACAAACTGTATACCAAACACCAAGAAAAAAAACCTGCAGAGAATCGAGGTCATATTCTCACTTCACCTTGAAAGTGGACAAGCCGTAGAGTCTTGTGGTGTGGACGGTTTCAGGGGAGACATTGGTGATGTTTGTGATAAACTCCTCCAGATACCTGCAGGCCTGCTCCAGGTGGGTGGTGTTAATGATGATCTGCACAAGCTACAGGAGCAGGTTTACAGTGTTAGACGTGAGTCTACATGATGTTTGTGGTTAGTAACTGCAGTGTGGCTCGTACCTCGGTTAGTCCTATGTGAGGTTTTTTGATGAGGTTCTGCAGACAGCTGCTGAGTGTTCTGGTCAGCAACAGGTTGGTTGATTTTCTCAACATGTCGTCGATCTCTGTTGAGCTGGACACAAAAAACATGGACAAAAAAAAAAATCAGGCAACTGTTCTAAGGTTAACATCAACATAATAAATATTGAACAGATAGTAACTGGTCAGCCAACCTGCGGTGTAGTGACTCAGAGAACTTCAGGCTGGCGTAAATGAACTCTTTGACCTGTGTGTAGATCTGAGGGACGGACTGAGACATGGGCAGCTTCTTAGGGAAGTCCTGCTGCTTAGACACACACAAACAACAACAGACAACAACATAAAATTACTAACATGTTGCCTAAGATTCACCTAAATTCAATACATTTGAGTATTTAATGGCTTATTAAAACGAGATTAGAGAGTCATTAGTCACTTGAATGTTTTTTACCTTCTCAATCTCAGTATCGTGAAATGGGAAGCGGCTGACTACATGTTTATACTCCTCCTCTGTCTCCACTGGGATTGGACTGTAGTTGTCCAACTCAAAGATCTCCCTGTGAAAGAAAACAAACAGTTTACTATCTGTGCAAACTCTTGGTACATTAGTGGAGCCTTGAGTGCCTCTAATTTGTTCACCAACGGTTTAAAGGTTCAGTTGTGTTCATCAGATTTCATCCAAAGATGACATCACGCTGGAGTTGTATTTGTATTTATCACAAAGGAAGTAAAAAAGAGAAATGATGGAATCACCATAATGTCAAACTAGTATATGTGTTAATACACCACTTAATTAAAGGGGACATATTATGAAAAATCCACTTGTACAGTGTTTTTGAACATAAATCTGGGTGACCTGAGTGTCTACAGACCCACATCCAGTCCTTTGTTTGTGGTCTGCATAAGTCTTACAACACAGAGAAAAATGCTCCGTATCAAATGTGCTCTCCTTGTGACATCACAGTGGGATTCTGGTATAAAAAAAATCCCCTCCCACCCCCCGATATCTCCACCCATGGACTCCACCTCCAGCCTAGAACAAGACTTTAGCACGGGTCGGCCATTTTTATTCTTGCCAGCGAAGGAGTGATGTCTACGGGGAAAACTCATGGGGGGCTCATTACATTTAAAGAGACACACACACCAAAACGGAGCGTTCTGAGAGAGCTGGTTTATACAGGGCCACAAACCTCCTCTGGTGCTTGATTCATGTTATATTTTGACCAAAGCACAGCACATATGTTTCATTTAGACCACAGGGGACTGGAAAAGGGGGATAATATGTCCTCTTTAAATTAAATAAAAGTGACCTCAAACAGACAAATAGTTGGATAACTTGTACAATTTATGAATGTGTTAAAACAGCTTTGATATCTGCAAATGAAATAAAACTCTTTCCCATTCTATTTATTCAGAGTGTGGTGGTGGCTGACATTATTTCCTCATTGAACTAAGAAGGTTAAGAAAAAAAACATTCAACAGGAATATTCTTCTTTGCATAATGTTTGTTTCTCAGACATTCAAGTCAAAACTTTATCTTAAAAGCCTTCAAATAAACGTCCACAGCTCTGCACAAACGTGCTGGAAGGAGCTGGATTTAGTCCGACAGTGCGTGTCTCTGCTCTGCTCCCAGCCACACTGCGGCACTCAGCCGACAACAACTGAGAGTGTTAAATCCACAGGTCCTTTTAGCATCTCAGTTACATGATAAATGTCCGTTTCAGAGAGCAATGTCAGCGAGCATCATTCCACTGCACAATGATTGATTTTTTGTTTGAATAGTCAAACAAAAAATTTGAAAATTGCAGAGAACTTGATCTCTTCATGTACTGACGGCACTGCACACTTTTTCTGGATGATGAGTGATAATTCAGAGGGAACATTTGAGTCTATATTTTTTTTTAAAGAAAATACTATTACTGTTTGAATTGCTTTTTACAGTGTTTCAAATGTTGGTGGGCCGACTGTTCAGTGACCATTTCTGTACCAACACTGGTGGCCATATGAAAAAAAGGAAACAACCTTATTTTGTGTGCCCAGGAGTCTATTTTTTCTGGCTGTGGTTATCGAAAAAGGTATCGTTATTGTCGGATTGTTACCAATAATGTATTGAAGTTTAAAAATCCTGACGACCCTCATTGATTGATTACTATCACTTGGACTTGTGGTCAGTCGCTGCTTTCATTGTAGATTTAGTTTTGGTTTGTTGCACGTATCTCACAGAGAAATGTAACTACCGTCTAACTTCTACTAAGCTCACCTGAAAACCAGCGCCCACTTCTTCAACAGAGTTTCATTGTACTGGTCTCTGACCTCGAACAGCAGGTCGAACAGCCGATTCACTGGGAACCCATAACCCTGCACACACAGACACACACAGACACACACAGACACACACACACGAAATATGGTGTGTTAATCTCAGGTCTCCTTTAGTCTCCAGAGTCCCATGAAGTACAGCTCTAAACATACCTGTAGTGTGTCTGCAAAGATCACGATGAGGTTCTTCAGCTCCAGGACCAGGTCTGGGTCCTCACAGTATGACTAGGGAAAGACAAAAAAAAATCTAAATCAGAGAGTCATACAATATGTCATCTCGACAACTTTTTTACAATCCAGGGACATGTGTACATAATGTTTAAATATCTGTATATAGTTCTGTGTTCTTCTTCTCTCTTATGAAATGAATGTGCGTTGTGCGTATAGATGATTGGTTGATCTGTATTTGACTTTTGCCATCATCTGCCCAGAGACTACAGATGGAAATTAGCTAGTTTACTCTAAATCTAGGAGAAATAATATTTTCTCTTCGGAGACTAATGTAATTTTGTACATTGTCCCTGATTCAAATAAACTAATAAACTAAAGTAAAAGAGCAGGACTTGAGATGAAACCAAGCGGCAAACTCTGGTGTTGAAAAGTGAAGCCAATACAGAAGTGCAAAAACCTGCAGTTCCTAGACTGTCCACTTGGCTCCAAAAGCAAAGAACCCTCATTAGGTCTAATAAAGAAAATGCTCACTTTTACAGCAGAAATAATGTGTTTACAGTCTGGAATCAGCACACTTGACCTTCAAGAACCAGAAATTGGAATTGGTGCGTCTCTAAGGGGAATGAGTGAAAATGTATGCTCTAAAGATTGTGCCTTTACAAAATCATCAATTATTTCCAAACTTTAAAAAAAGGAAGTTTGTGACATGAAGATCATCTTCTTTATCAAATTTGATATAAAAACAAGGCTGCACAATTCTCTGACAATAAGTGATGGAGCTAAAGGCACAGTTTTGATTCACTGCTAACTGTAAAGTAAAGCTGGATGACCAAACGAGACGATTTTCCACAGTTGTGTTTGTTAACTACGTAAATGAAGCGCTGGAATAGAAAGCTTGACTTGGCCACAGCGAGTGGGGGAGTTTGGGGTGTGGGGAGGGGTCTTAGCCAAAGGTCAATCAACACCGAGAAGGTTTCTCTATTTTTCTGGGGTGCAGAGTGATTTATGACCCTGAGAGCACAGTAGAGTCCCTCACACAGACACAGGGATCCTGCCAACACAGGAGTGTGTAAATCAACAGAGTAAATGAACACAGGCTGAGATTTGACGTAAAGCAGCGGCCGCCTGCCTCTCTGTTGGTGTGTGTATGTGTGTGTCTGAGTAAACAACCAGCTGGAGACAGGACTAAACAATGTACCTCACATGTTCAGACACTTTTATTACTCCAGCTTTACATGCTCTAAACCTGACTATATGTGTCATTGTGGTTCATTCATGCAGTGTGAACAATTACAAGAGTCCCCTCGATTAGTTCTTTTTAACAATGAGTGTGTTTTCGAAATTTAATGCCCGAAGTTTAAACAGTATGAAGACATTTTATTGTTTGCCATACAATTGTCTTTATTTTATTCATTTTTTAATTTTTTTTTAACAGCGAATTAGAATCAAAGTTGCACATGGATGGGTTCGTGAAAAGATTTTGTCCCGGTGTGCTGCCGCTGCGGTGGTTGTAAGGGCAGGACCCCTGACAGTGTGGAGCTGCCTGTGTGACGGCCCAGCAGAGGGGCTGGAGGCCACAGGGGGGGGGGGAGAGAGACACCAGGGGCCTTTGTTAGTGTTCTCACCCCAAGCTGTGCGGCCCATTCTCTGGCCTGTTAGCATAATCCTCTGGGTCATTTACAACTGAGTAGAGCCCAGCGGTCAGGAATATGCCTCCTTAATCTGCTGTTATTGTTGCAATCTGTCTCTCATTAAGGCCCCAATGACCCCCTCTTTGGCCGCATGCGTATGTGTGTTTTGACCTCTTCTCCTGAAAGTGACATCATTAGTGTGTTTGTGGGTGAACTGACCTCTGTAGTGTTATGTGTGTGTGTGTGTGTGTGTGTGTGTGTGTGTGTGTGTGTGTGTGTGTGTGTGTGTGTGTGTGTGTATATCAACCAGTGAATGGTGTTTCTTCCATGATAAATAGATCCACAGAAGGCTCTATTATCTCTATTAACTAACAGTCACCTTCTCATTCACAGTAACCTCCCTGCTGTGTGTGTGCGTGTCTTTGTGTTTGAGTGTGTGTGTGTGTTTGAGCCTACAGAGTGCGTGCGGAGCACAGCGATGATCTTGGACAGCGCCATGTTCCAAAGTTCGTCGGTGAAAGCTCTGGTCACCAGCCCCTGTGTTGCATGAAGGATGTGGTCCTCCACTACAAAGAAACTGAAAACACAAACAGACAACATTCATATCTCAATACTTTTTCGAATAAGTTTTATGAATTACATTTAATTGACAGCCAACAAGCACATCAGCATTGAAAATCAATTTAAACCAAAATGCAGCACCTTGAACTGTCTGGTTAAACAAAACAACACCACCTCCGGCTGCTGCTGGGGGACAGTCCTCCTCCCCTCAAAGTAACCAAGGCAAGAGCATCCAAACATTGTAGCAAACCCCATTGGTTAAAAATAGTAATCCAGTGTTGAAATCCATTTTGAAAGCGGCAGGCTAAAAAACTAGTTCGCTAACTTAACATGGTGACATAAGGTTACATTATGATGTGTTCAAGGTCGGCTCAGTGAAATGTCTATAAGCGATGGTAAATACACCATCCTCATGATGTGTTCAAATGTAAGGTCAAGAAAAAGAAAATGCAGGTTTCTGCAAGAACTTGAATAAAAACATTTGTTTGGATGTGTGTGTGTGTGTTGAGCAGTGTTAATCCCGTCAACGAAATAAGTGACGAAAATATTTGTTGATGAAGGTCTTTTTAAATTAGTCAACTATGACGATGACGAGACGAAACTCCGCTATTTGACGATTTGATAAATAATATTACTTCATCATCTAATTGACGAAAATGTGACGAAACGAAAACTACATTACAAGTGAGGATTATCACGTCCTTGATAAAGAAGTGTTAAACCCACTCAGCTGTTCTAAAATCATTGTAAACCATAGCAGACTTCATCAAAGGTGTGCGTGTGTGTGTGTGTGTGCAACAATGTGCAGCCTGGAGCCTCTCGCCTGCAGATCCGTGAAGCCCCGCCCCCTAGAGCTTCTGATAATAAAAATAAAAGCTTGCGTCTGATTTTGTTGACTAAAATATCAACTAAAATGATGTGCAATGACTAAATTAAATCAATAACAAATGACTAATATCTGACTAAATACATTTTCGTCAGGAGACTATGACTAAATTAGAAAATGGTGTGAAGAATAACACTAGTGTTGACACGTGTCTCTCCTGCTTCTACAACGCCTTAACTTAATGTGAGTTCACATGCCACTGTTACTAACATGAATATAATGCACTTGCAGATTTGATGTGTAGGTACTATAGCGTAATATAGTGGAACTTCGTAATGGCGCTGTTTCAGATTTGAACGTGCAAACAGGTTTAGAATCTCTTCTCCTCCATTTCTTGGAGAAATGATCCCAATGAATGTCCAGTACTAAAATACTTCAATATTTGTGGCAGCGAGTTCCACCCTAATCCAGTTTGTAGACAGTTATCTGTCATTTGCAAACGGAAGTGACAAAGAGGCAATACAAAGAAACTGAAGCATTGAATCGTTTCCTCTTCTGTGTTCGCTGGACTTAATTTCACTTTTCACGTTTCTGTAAACACACATGACAGACGGGCACAAACAACGCGAACATGAGAGAGACATCTTACCCTACAATCTGATTGAAGTATCTTCTGTAGCCTTCCACTGTCTCATGCTGAAAACACAGACACACACAAAGACATGTTTACACACAGTACATGAATGAAGAACATCAACTAATATTTAGGAATCTTACAGAATCGATTGTATTCACATGAGAAAAATAAAAAATGAGTTCAGTTTTTTTCTGAATGAACGACATCATAATCTCTGTATTAAGAGTTACGAGGCGCCTCAGTTGCACTCTGATGCAGTATTTTCATTAATTCCCTTATCAACCCTTTCAGACTGCTTTTTCCTCAAAAGTACCATAACTAAGCTAAGCCATCATCACGTCTTTGTACATTCATAATGATTCTGCGACTGCATAGTATTAGTGTCCCAGTCTGTGAATTCACATCGTGTTTCTTTCAAACTACAACTGCTACCTACAACACCCGTTCTGCCCACCACATTCTCCTAAAAATTCCACAAACAAATACAGTTATTGGTCAAACATCATTCAGGGCTGCTGCAGCCATTGACTGGAACAACTTACAAAAAAACTCTCAAACTGGACACTCTCATCCCTAAATCAGCTTTCAAGGACTCTATCATGGACATTCTCACTGACAATTGCAACTGTTTCTCAGTGCACTAACTTTTCCCAAACCCCTATCTGCTGGCTCATTACTGTCTCTCCCATGCATGTTGTCTTTTAGATGTTCACCTCTCTGTGTATTGCATGTGTACGTATGCCACACATCTATGTGGTTGTTCTATGTGCTGTGCTGCTGTTGTGAGTGTATGTAAGGAGGATACGTTGTACATGTGATGACTGTGTTTTGCCTTCCTTGTGGCTGGTATGTTTGGATATGTTCTTTTCACTTTTTATTGTGCTGTGACTGTTTGGAATGCAGTTAGCTGTTGGAAAGGTTGTACGCTGCTATCTTCTAACTGTGCTGTTTGTCCTTTTAACATTGACCTTTCTTTTCAGCCCCCACCCCCCCTCCCCTCAAAAGGCTTCTGTCTTTTGCCAGGCCATCGTTGTAAATAAGAATCTGTTCTTAATGACCTGCCTGGTTAAATAAAGGTAAAATAAATAAAAATAAAATAAAATTCTGTAGGGATCTAAAGGAACCGTTATCTTGTCCATTCAGAAAAAAAAACAGAGCAGAATCTGATTTAAAGCATAACTTGATATTTCGAGATGTTAACCTCATTAATTTAGAAAACAGCAGATTTTATTTTCTTATGTGAATGCAATATGCTTCTGTAGAATCTGGTTCTTTGAATTTATTTTAAAATATCTATTACATGTATGTGTCATGATAGTGCTACTAGATCAGCCATTGACTATAATGACATCTGAGAGTGTTTATGTGCTGCTCACCATGTTAGCCTGAGGCTGCAGAACGAGCCGGGCCTGTTTCTTTCTCTGCTTCCTGTAGTAATTCTCAAATGTTTCCCGATCTCCCTGCAGACACAAAGACATACATCTGACTTACATGAACTCCTCTTAAAGAAAGCAACAATATATTCAGAGTAAGAATCCTTTATGACGTAAATAATAACACAATGTTCCAAATAAAGTCATAATGAAAACCATCTGGATACATCTGAAAATCATAGTAAGAAAGAAAGTCAGAGTTCTATCTCCTTATAAAAATTATCACCTTTACATTCCCATTCTCTCTTTTAGAAAATGCCACCCATGTATTGATGCAAATAAGGATTATTTTTTTCTTTTTAAAGAATGTGTAGCTACAGCGCCCTCCACAGGACTAGCTAATGGGAGCAGTTTATCTGACATTTCCTGATACATGCAAACATTTAATGCAAAGTGTCCTTGGGAAAGACGCTGAACCCCAAATTGCTCCATGTTGTATCAACAGCGGTGTTTGAATGTGTTGAAATTGGATGAGTTAATACTGATGGGAACTGTACATATCAGCCTCTGTCATCAGTGTGTTAATATGTGTAAGAATGGATTCATCTCATATAAATGGACTTATTTTCTAGTCTTCTGACCCCTCAAAGCGCTTCTACACTACATGTCACACCTACACATTCACACACTGATGGTAGAGGCTGCTGAGTAAAGAGTCCATCAGAAGTAACTAATCACACTTTTATTGACATATACAGATGCCGCCAATGAAGCAGCGGGAGCAATTCGGGGTTAAGTGTCTAACCCTTGGACATGTTATTGCAGGAGCTGGGGATCGAACCCCTGACCTTCCGGTTGGGAGACAACTACTAACTAAGCCACAGATGTCCGCTTTCACACGCCATACGGTTAAAAGACGAGGAAAAATAATTCATTTAAAAAAATAGATTTCTTGAAGTTATGAATCGATCTAAATTTTTACATAAATCGATTTTTTGGTCCCACCTCTATACAGTTTAAATGTTTTCTGATAAGTGCCAAATGAAAGAAAAGAAAATCTACAATACATATAATGTTAAAAAGGAATTATTGTGTGCTAACAAATGCTCTTATTATAAAGTAAATTGTCAACAATTTACAAGACTCTCTGCACACGTAGTAGGGCATCTCAGCTGAGCAAAGGGTGGACTGAATTAATTCACGATGAATAATAATGGAAATGATTCTTTAATGAAGATACTTATATAAATAAGGAGTCTTCTAGGTAACTTTGCAGTCATTTAGGTACAAAGTTGGCATTCAAGTAGTTCCATAAGAGCCAGGCTCCAATACAGCGGTACTGTTTTCCTGTTTTATGTCTCAGAATTTAACCTGAATCCTCTAAAATGTCAGTAAACCTTTGAGCTCCTGTAGTTTAGTTAACAGTAAAGAGCAGACGTCAGTGAAAAGGTAATTTATTCATCTTGTTTAACAATGTTTAAATGTAATTCTGCTACACCACTTGTTGCTATGTTCTGATTTATGGAGCAGTATGTGTTTGTGTGTGAGACAGAGACAGCAGGTTACCTACCAGCACTGTGTAAATGTGTAAACACCTGTAGACAGGTGAGAAGTCCACCAGGTCCTGAGCTGTTAGAACCTGTCAGACAAGGATGAGAAACATGAGAACATTCAAACAGTAGCCATCAATAAAATAAACCAATGAGAAGATAGAAACCTGTGTAATTAACTGCCTTATTAATGGCATCGTTGATAGACGGCCTGCCTGAACAACAACACCCCCCCTCCCCCCTCCTGCTCCCTATCTCTCTTCCTGCATTTTATCCCATCTCTGCCCCTATCCCTTTCCAAGCCCGGCGCAGTCTAGGCCTGTGAAGGCTGTTTCGTCATGAATCGGGGATGCGGCTTGAAGATTTCTGCCTTTTAATAAGGCAGTTTCTTCTTACCACTGTAACTGAAGTGCTCATGATGGATAGGCCGGGTCTTTGTAATATAGCAATAAGTAAGGTCTTTTACCGGCTTTTTGTAATATAACAATGAGTATGGTCTTTTTACCTGCTCTTTTGTAATGTTAACAGACAAAGAGTAAGGTATTTAACCTGCTTTTTGTAAAGTGTCTCGAGATAACACTTGTTATGACTTGACGCTATACAAATAAAAAATTGATGGACAGTTAATAAATTTACATCCAGCTACACAACAGTATTTCCTCACCTCTTCATCAGCTTCCTCCTCCTCTCCTGAGTCTTCCTCGATCATGAGGCCGTTGTGGGTGTGTGTTCGTCCGTTGAGCGAGTACATAGGCTTGGTGTAGTGGCCCGTGCTGGCCTGTTTGGCTACTGCGCTGTTAAAAGTTCTGTGCTGCTGAGCCTGAGAGGACAAAAACACATACAAACAAACAGATTAATGAGCAGATTGATATCTTTTTACATCTGTTGTAGGATTGGATAAGAACACAGACCCTCGTACCTGTCTCATGGCAGTCTCTCCAACCTTGTCCGAGTGTTTCCTGATGCTCTCCAGGAAGTCCTTGAGGTCCGACATGGAGATCTCCTTGATCTCCTCTCGGAGTCTGGGCAGGTTTTCAGCCATGATCTGACAGAACCTGTAATGACTGACCCTACAGGATAGACAGCAGAACCAGTCATGATATAACCACTTTAAATAGTATTCAATCAACAAAATGTATAAATAAAAAAAAATAACACAGAATAAATGCTGGCAAACCAACCAAAACCAATGATGAAACTATCTAACAATCAGTTCAATGCTGCTCACAGCCCAGGGAACAACAATATATCAACCATCCCACAGTGTCTATTTAATACAACCCTAATTCCTAAAAAGTGGGACACTGTTCAAAATGTAAATAAAAACAAATTGTGATGATTTGCAAAACATTAATATCCAATATATGATTGAAAATAGAGCAAAGAAGAGATGTCAGATATTGCCAATATATATTGGTAATTAGAATTGTATTTTTTTTGGAAAATTTGGAAATTTGACAAATAAAACAAATAAAAAAAGTTGGAACTGCTACAAAATACTGTTTAGGTGTGAAATGTGAAAAAAAAAAACATGGTGCATCTCACAGTTAAAACGGTTAAGAGGGAACAAGTTAGTAACATCATGGGCATAAAAAAAACTTCCAAGAGAGGATAAGGGCGCACTCACACTCGGCCCAGTTGCCTCATTCTAGTTTAAGCACAGACAAAACCCTCCCAGATTTCTCAATAATGGAGGCAGGGATAGATCATACTTCATGTCCACAGTGTGTGCATATGGTTGTACATGACCAACTGTCCTGTGTTGAAGAGATGTACTCTTCCATCAGTGCCAGAGTCAAAGAAGTGTACCGTGTTGAGCACTGAACGGAGCACTCTCACTAGTAAATCAAACTGAAATGTGAGGCTCAAACATGCTTGGACACGGTACGGATTGCCTGGTATGAGTGTGCCTTAAGTCTATCTGAAGAACAGATGACATCACTCCATAGGCTCAGGAACACTACCATAAACCTTTGTCTCTGAACACAGTTTACCGATGCATTCACAAATGCTACCGTTACCATGTAAAGAGGAAACTGTACTCTGAAGGGACTCCAACAGCAACAGCTTTTTCCAAGTGTTGTTAAAAGAAACAGATGCAGATGCAACAGAGTCGTAGACATGACCCAACTTTTCTGAAACCTGCTGCTGCCATCAAGTTCAGAATGGGCATATCATTCTCAGAAACACGATGAGATTTCTCAGTTTCAACATGTGATATGTTGTCTTTGTGCTTTTTTCAATCAAATATGGAGTTTCAATGTTTTGCTAATGTTATTCTGTTTTTTAATGGAGAGATAGGACAGTGGATAGAGTTGGATAATGTGGAGAGAGTTGGGAATGAGATGCGGGAAAGGAGCCACAGGTGGGATTCAAACCGGGGCCGCCCACTTGAAAGACTATAGCCGCCATACATGGGGCGCGCCAATAACCAATGCTATTCTATTTTTATTGACATTTACACAACTTCCCAAACGTCCTTAAAGAAACATACCTGGGAATGTAGACCTTCTCCAACTGCTCCATGGTTTTCAGTGCAGCATAATATCTGAAGAGGCAAACAATAAAGATCTTGTAAGGATGCAATCACACTTACGAGTCTTTATTCACAACCAGGTAAGAGTAGATCATCTACATTTGTACATCAATTGGTTGAATGAATGTTGTGCTAACAGTGACAAAATAAAGTATATTAGAAAACATGAGACCATGATATGTTCTGGAAGAACTTACTGGATTAATTATTTGTATTTTTAAAAATTAGGTGGGGCAGTGCTGTCTCCTTAAAATACCCACTAATTGATCCATTTCTCACTTGTTATTTCTCACATTTTTTCTGAGAGGGTAATTTAAGGGCAACATGTCTGTCTTATGCATTCGGTACTGTGGGATGTCTTATTCTCAATGCCTATTCAGCTACCTACGTAATAAAGATTCTGAGGTCTTTCATAGTTTGCACACAACAAAAGGGTTCAGTGTGGGGTCAGTGTGCTGAGCTCCCATCATTAGGCTGATAGGCAGGCTGTGAAGGGATCTAATTGGTCGGTCAGTGAGTGTAAAATGTGTTGTATACACATGAACAGAAGACAGCCTCATGAACTGTACAGTGAAAAGGTTTGTCAGAGTGCAGAGCACTAGGATGGAGGACACAAAAGCTGCAAGTGGCAGGGCATTAAGGAGTGACCTGGGCACCAGCACATACAGTACAGATTTTAAAAAAAGTTGCATTAGTGCCATAAAAACCCATTCTAATTTATAGGATGTGTATGTACTATGTCATTAGTCAGTATGGTCTAATTGCCTTGGATTGGCTGTGGGCTGTGAAAGAGCTGCAGAGAGGCGGCCTTGTTGTGAACAAGGGCACACTGAGGGTCAATTGTCCTGCCAGTGAATGGCCGCTTCCTTTGGTACACAGTAATGAACAAGAAAGGGTCATTATTTTCCTGTTCAAAGTGAAGCCCCCTCTCCACTTCATACAGACAGGCATGTCATTTACTGCCAAACATGAAGTTCATGGGGTAAAAATGAAGTTCAGTCCAACCTGCACAGCAGTGGGTGAGCTCAGGAGTTAGCAGGAATGGGATGAGGTTTTTACCAATTAATTTGATAGGACATCAGTATTTGGATGAACACTTTTATTGATATTTAAAGTCACTGATTTCCTGTTTGCAGAGCAGTGTCTTGCTTTCTAAGTTCTCACTGTTCCAACAGTTCTCCTTTAAGCCGGCCAGCTCCATAATTTTGAACGGACATGAACTGATAAGTGTAGACACAGAAGTCCGTTTCCTCAACTGATTCCGAGATTTCTTCCAGAAGGAATTGGTATCTTGGAAAATCCTGGCAGCAAACAGACTCTATGTCTTGTGTCCACAGGCAAACACCGACACTACCAGTCCGCCACAGCTATGTCTTGACAATTTGTATTTAATTACTATAACAGCATAATGTTGTTAAAAGAGAACAAAGTTTTTCATACATTTAGCCTCTTCATTTTGCACAAAATTGATGCATTTAACTTTAAAAAGTACACATTTTGCAGTACAGTGTCCCCCCACAATAGTCTCATAAAATCCTGTAGGAAACACTGCCAGCTAATGCTTTGAATTGAAAATTTTATATATATATATATATATATATATATATATATATATATATATATATATCTTTTTTTCAAATACACTATTTAATACAAGGTATTGAGGAGTGAACTATTTCAGACTTATGTATGTAGCCTACTGTAATACATAGAATTATAGCATATCTCCAGCAAAACGATATGAACTTAATTGGGCTGGTCTGAACCATGAAACTCCCGGGCTGAAAATGCGTCCCACTCCGTACCTGGTTCCGCCTCTTTGTCTATTACTAAATTGAGGTCGGGACAGGATTCCCTCATATGGCAAACGCCATCATTCGGCTTCAGAACGTTTCTTCAGAAACCAATGAGTGATGTCACTGAGACTACATGTTAAATACAGTCTATAGATTTTACCTGAGAGGATGTGTGCATTTTTTCTTACATCTTAGAGTATTTTATGTAGACTCTTCATATTTGTATGATGTAAAGACAGAAGTTTCAAAATTGCTGCAAGATGAGAAGATGAAACCAAAAGTTGGCAAAACAAGCTTTTTTACAAACGTTTGTACGTGCTGGAACAATAGTCCTACAGCACCAGACTACATCAAAGCAGTGTGCGGTCTGTTGTACTTCGACAAAAATTGGAAGAGCAGAGGGCGTGCCACAGGGGGACGAAAAAAGGACGTGGATTAAAAAATTACTTTAATTGATTTGGGAATCTTTGGACTTCAAAATCTTAAAGTTGTGTTTTATAATACGAGTTAAACTTCAGGCAGATTGTGATGAAACCGTTACCTTTTGGATTCCAGCTGCTCCTTCAGTTTGCTGTACATTTCTAGCACTGCAAAGGAGGACAGAATGATCAGTTACATGTGTCAGTACCAGGGCTTTTTGCCCGAATTCAAACATTCACAGGTATGTTAGATTAAACATACAGCAGTACAAGTTGGATTGACAAGACGTCTCAATTTCAGCCAAGACCAGTAGGGGTGTGAAGTACAACTCATGGCATATTGGTTTCGGGCTGTGGGTCAATACTTCAAATTACCATAGGCTGTGATCTCAACTTATCCAGCAGTCGCTAACTCCACAAGGTTTAAACAGAAGGGGCCAAAAAGAGTTTTACAAGTGCACAGAAACTGCAAGTTTTGAACTTCACTGAGCGCAATGGAAATCATCTCGCAGGATGACAGTTTTAACCTTTATTCCCTCGGGAAGACCCCCATTCAAAGGCTTAGTCTTACATGCAGGTGCGACAGCATTAGCTGTTTATTTTTATTTCTTCCAGTTGCACCCTGCGTTCACATAGGTGACCACTTCATACACACTAGAATTAAGCTGACCATCCATGCTGCAGTGTTACCTGGTATACAGAGCTGCAGCTTCTCCACTGTAGTGGCCATGTTCCTCTGCTGGATGCGACAGCGAATCACCTCCTCTGTTTGAGCTGTCACCTGAAAAACAAACACACAATGAGAGACCAGCAAGCAACACCCTGATAACACATATAAACTCACACATTTTGTCTTCTGCACTTTGCATGCATGCAAATGTGAACTCACCTCCCGTCCAGCCTCCTGTAGTCTCCGATTAGTGTCTGTGACCTGGCCCTGTCAAAAGAAACACAGACATTAGATGTTCTTAGATTCATTTAGATTAAACGTGGTGAAGGGTTAATGTTGGTCCGATTCAGAGGTCAAGCGTTTACTTAAAATTTTAGCAGGTGCAAATATTCAGAGAGAGCTGAATAAAACCACAAGAACTTTGAGGTCTTTGGGTAAATCGGTGACTTTCTGATGACGTACTATGTACGAGAGGTAACTGTTCTCAGACCTGGTTGGGGCTGCAGAAATCTGAATGCAGGCTAGCGGGGGACAATCGGGTTCAAAGGAACGATACCGGACAAATGGGCTTAGTGTGAGTGGGCCCTTATTCCTTCATCTTGAATTTCCACGGCATCTTTTTTACTTTGTGTTTGTCTCCTGACACCCCGCCATTCCAGTCTGACAGAGAGATCTTCATGCCGTGAGGGACATGTGTGTAAATAAGCACCTAAGGAGAAAGGCTGTCCTGAAATGTCCTAGAAATGTTCAGGATTGCATGCATTGAAACAGCTAGAGACTTACACTTTGTCTGAGTAATTTTTTTATTTTTTTTATTTCTTTTACTGATTTATATTTATTCATCGCACAATTTAATGTAATTGCACCTAAGTTAGCTAATAGCTAATTACCATCTGTTGTCTCTGGGTACTATGTAGACAGAAACAGAAGAAAATCTAACAACTGCAGAGCCAGATCTCTAAAGCTGCGCTGGGACCTGCAGTTTGTTGAAGCTGAGAATCACAGCCCTGGTTGGAAAATGTAGATCTTCAATAATGTGTCGAAATCTTCAATTATCGCTGACAAGTTATGGCTTCAGTCCCAAATGTGGGTTTGTTTGGTGACTTTCTCCAAAGGAGCACTTCACAAGTTTTAAAAACATTTTGAAGAGGTATGAATACCTTGGTCTTGGATCAGCTAACATGCTGTCACATGTCTACCCATCCCTCTCCTCTGTCTGCTCCCCCTCTTCATGCCCTCTCTTTTCCCTCTCTACCTCCCTCGCTGCAGCTGCTCAGCCTTGAAATCAGCTCATTGTCCATGGAGGGGCAGGGACAAAAGCAGGCAAATTCAGATTAACCAGGCAGCAGGGACCTGAACCCATCATTGGTGCACTGGGCCTTTCATGGCGTTTAATGGCTTGTGACAGGCTCTTTCTCACAGATTCAGTGACAAACTTCTCGATTCTGGATGAAGATTTTTGAACTCTCGGCTCTTGTCACACAGCTGAGAGCCATGACCCAAATGACCAGTCGGCTTTTTGATGACAATCCTTTCAACAGGGAAGTTTCCAAACAAGCAGGACCGGCTACATAATCACTGTCTCTTTATTTTTTTTTTTACGAAGCACGGGTGCATCACCACCAGAGTGACTGGCTGATTTTGTGAGGGCCCATGTCTAGGTAACATAAAAATCCACTCAGAACGTTTACATGCACAGTTACAGTTATAGCTCAATCAGGCATACAGGTGGCAACATGCACCCTTTCAGCTAGATACAATTCAACCTGACCAAACAATTGACAAACAAATTAGCAAGAGGCAATCTGGTTGTTAAAATACAGAACTCTGTCACAACAACTGTGTTTCCTCATCTGTCCAAAAATGTGTGGTCTTGACGCTTTAGCACTCGAAAAATTCTTCCTGTTTTCAACCCAGCTTAATTCTACACATATATGCTGTTTGACTTCAGGGTCAAAGCCTGGCACGGGAACTGTGGAGCATGTGCAGAGCGCAAAGGTCAGTTTGTAGCCAACTGAGGTGTGAACAAGCCAGAGAAAATCAACCCTCAACAGCATTATCAAGGTGAGTTAGTCCAATTTAAAGAAATCCGAATGAATGATATCATTTAGACTAAAGTCTTGTAAACGTACTGTATGAGGATCAATGTCTCCTGAGGATGCATCCTACTTTTTCCTTATAATGCTACTATGAGAAGCAAGTCTAAGTCTGTGTTGCAACCCTGGAAACAGAGAAAAGCCACCTTGTTGTAAAAAAAAAAAAAAGGACAGTTAAGTTGAGCTCCGGCTAAGGTTATAAGCCTTTTATATCAGCAGTAGTAGCAACAAGTCTGGTGATTTTGAGCTTAGCTGCAGATTTGCAGGCTAATGAATGACATGTTAAACATCCATACTATGTTTTTTTTTTAAACAATCTATTTAGTGGTTGGTTAGATGCTTACTCAATCTGATTTAAACATTTCCTAGGATTGCCTTCTGGTCCTGCCGTAGTGCACTAGTAAACTTCCTTACCATCAGTTTTTCTGCATCAGCACGAACTTTGAGGAGCTCTGTGATGGCGTCCACAAAACCTTGGTGGTGGAAATTGCACATCTTCTCGATCTCACGGTCATGGTTCCTTATCCTGGCGTCCAGCTTCTCCATAAAGCGTTTGTGGGCGTTGGGCTGATCATCGTAAATTGACCTGAGAGGGACAAATAAAGAAAGGAAACAAAGGAGGAAGATGACAGGGAAAGAAGAAAAAAATAGCAAAAAAAGTTAGAAGGTTTTTGACATGTTGCAGGTTCATTCGAACATCTGTGGTGCACTAAGAGACTTGAAAGCTAACACAGCTTATGCAGACTTTACTGCTGTATGAAATAATGGTCGAGTGTTAGTACGTGTGTTTTATTATCTGCCAACTATTAGTATTTACTACAAAGCAGAATACGAACCATCACACATTACTGGATAACCAAAAGAGCGGGGGGAAAAAACAATATTGAATATCCATTTTTGAAAGTCACGGAAACATTTTTGACCTGTTAACTCAACAACAGGTCCTGGAAAAAAAAGAAGAAAATCAACATGACTGTGCAAGTGGTAAGGCCAAGGTGACCAGCTGTTTGCACATCACTGCAAAGAATCCTGCCATGAATCACTACTGGTGATCCAGCACACACACACACGCACACATGCACACACACGCATGCACGCACACACCACTCTGTCATACTCTGGCCTCGCTTCAACAGGCACAGATGGTTGTGTATGCATACTGTATGTATTTGAGTTTTCTGTGTGAGTGTGTGTTCAGGCGAGATAGAGACTGACAGAGAAGGACCGCAATTGAGAACGAGATCGAAATAGAGAAACAAGAAAACAGAGCAAAAGATGAATTGTGTGATAGTGTAACACTTTTGATTAATAGTTTATGTTATGAGTGCATGTGAGTTTCTATAAAAGGTGTGCACGTTTGTTTAACCAGGCACTTTTACTATGTGTTTGTCTAAAAGCATCAGCTCTCTTCACATAGAATTTATTTTTGGAAGTAACAAGAAATTAAGTTTTGACGGTCAAAATATATCTGTGGTAAGAAAAATGATTAAGATGTCCAACATTTTGTCTTCCTTGATGTTTACCCTCTGGAGTTGCTTTTATATCAGGTACAAATGGTAAATTGACTAATCAAAGCACTTTTATACATCGACGGCAGCTATGACTTTGAGGTAGATGAGGTAAGTGATAAAGCCGGACAAAGGGCCTCATTCACTAATATGTGCGTAGAGATGTTCTTACTCTGCGCATAAAATAAGTGCATACGCAAAATCACCGTCGCATTCATGACACGTGCGTACCAGCCAATTTTGTTCTCACCACCTTGCGTATGTTAGTGAATCAGAATCATTCTAAATGGTCAGGTTCGTGCCCACAGCCTGCAATCAGCTTACTACCACACCCCCATCTCTCCATATAAGGACATCCGATTGGTGTATCAGGATGAGAGCGGTGAGGTGGAGACACGTAGAAGTTTTTAGGAGATGGCCCAAAAAGGCAAAAAAGGTCAGTGTCTGCGGCTTAGATGCCGTTACAGTGAATGACACAGTTGCAGCAGTACGTGCATTGGCAGTCAGAATCAGCTGATCAGTCATTCGTCACATTCTCCAAACGTGTTGTGATGGTCTGATGCGCTCTCTTCTGAAGGCACCGGCTGCAATATCTTTCAGCAAGGCTGATCTTTACACATTCTTAGACGTAAATCATAATCATGTATGTTCCCTGCATGCTCTTAAATATTCTCAGATTAATCAGCTGGTTTTGGAAACAGATGCTTTCATGGCACTATTGGTGGGAGTGGTAGATGATTAGATTTAAGATTTTAGGTTAAAGGATGAAAAGGCATACATTTGATGATTATTTAACACATTTAGTCAATGCATTAGTTAATTCAAGTTTTTAATGCTTGTCTTTTCAACATTTATTTAAGATATATATATTTATATATATAGGCTATTTTTTTTTACTGGATGCAGTGTTTCCCCTACCATTATATTAGGAGGGCAGCCCACCTATATATAACTGTCATTAAAAGTAACACATGAACACCAAGATTCCTTCAAGTGTTTGTGTCGCCATGTCCCCCCCACATATTTGTGCGTACGCACTGTTAGTTAATGAGGCCCAATGTGTCCATCATCAGGTTGGAATGCTTATAACACTGTCACTTGGTAAAATGAGGGATGCACTGATGCGTTGGTTCAACATTGACCGATAAGCCAATAATGAGCTGATGTTTATTTGTTGTACCAAATCAATTTAATGCTGGCATCTAGTACACCTAACTAATGATTCAGAGAAGAGATTTGTTTAAGAAACTCTGACTTGTTTTCATCGTCATACATGAGATACATTGTAGATCACCAAAAGAAGTCGTGAAACAAACATCGAAATTAGAATCTCAAAATCGGCTAAATTATTATTCAAACATCTGGACTGGTATCAGCCCTGATTTACCCTTTTTTTCTTTATTTTGACAGGGAAAGTTTTCAGCCAATTAGCCGTACCAGAGTTAGCTATGGGCTAATGTTTGCAATAAAAACATGAAGCTTTTCCCAAGTCACAACCTTGTCTCCAAGGTTACAGCCAAGGGTTGGACTAATACTGTATTTCCATCTCATAGGGCTTTAGTGCAATGGTGAGTAAGCAAGTAGAATTGGTCATAACTATGTATGAGCAAGGGGAGATATTTCGAGTGGAGTGATTCATGGAGTGATTCAGTTCAGCTATTAGCCTGAAAGCTGATGGTATGCGAATGAAAAAAAAACACTGCACCCAGTTGACACAAAGTAGGGATGCACATCGGCAAATCATGTGGCATGCATCGTGTTGGTAGCCGATCTGTTGTGTGGTGTAAATGTAATGCTGTCAAGCTAACTGCTGATCCAGAGAAGAGGTGTTTTGTTGGGCAGAAGAATTCACCTTTTGATTTGTTTTCATGGTCAAACGTGAAAGAAAATGTCAGCAGTGACAGTCCCACACCGTCTCTGAGAAAGATCAAAAGCATGCAGTTTGTAGAACATGTTCCATTTGTTAATATTTCAAGAGGAGGGACTACTAACACGCTAAATATATAAAATCATACAGCTAATTTGAGAAACGGACACTAAGAAGAAGAATAAAAAATGGGTTTTGTTTATTGTCTGCAACAGCTTTAAGTAGAAATGAAAAAGCTAATGTCATGAGAGGATGGCTTATGTGATTCACAGTATCACTTTTGATTTCTTGCAGCTTGTGTGTGGCAGGCGCCATCCTGTGGTGTTCAGAGGAAGAGTGCCTCTTCACTTCTTGGTTTGGCTGCATCCCAGTTTTCTAAGTTTTCATATCCAAACAGGTTCAAAGAAACGTTCAGGTCTGCTCTTGTTGTAACTACCCAGAGCTATTGTACTCTATGTTAGCGCTGTTTCCAAATAAATGATTATTCTTTATTATTAATCAATTGTAATTTTATTAGTACACTTAAAAAAAAAATCTTAAACATACATAAATATCCCTGTATAGTTTTGAATTCACACTTGTTTCAGTGAAGATTGGAGCAGTGTGAATCAAGAAGGTATCAGAGACAGGATGTGAGAAACATCCATCAGTCATAAATGCAAAGTGCTGACACCAAATTGTTGCAGCTGCTGTATGCACGTCTTTAAACAACAAGCCTGACTGACAGTCTATGAGCCGGTGACCTACAACACCATAATAAGCAGAATATTATTTCAAATGTAGGAACAGCTCCATCTAGTGACAGTGAAGTGAAATGCAATTCATAAACAAACGTACATATTGTTGAAATTAGTAATATTTTGATTTCTGAAAATCTCTGACATGAATTATTATTCTGCTTGATATGAATAACCTTTACCTTCTTTTTCTCTGTTTCCATCTATTAATCTAAAGATATCTGATAGATCCAGCCTCATCTGACTGCATGCAAATGATGTGAGAGCATTTCCATGACAACTAGGACTCCACAAATTGGGTCAAATGTAAGCATGCTGAGTGAGAAAGCATTGCTTATTTACATAAAATATTTTTTATTATTGATTGCAAAAAATTCTGACTGTCAAAGTGTTTATTGCAAACAGTCATATAGCGATGATGTACAAAATAAGCAAATTTATATCATGCTTAAAAAAACAACTTAAATATCAATAATCCAAAAAGCGGCAATATTTTTCTTGGATGATAAATTGACTTAATGTTGCAGCTCTAGATAAGTCACTTTTCACTTTTTATGCTGGAATGAAAACAAACTATGTGGCACCAATGTTTTAAAGCTGCGTTTATGCGTGAGCTGAGAACACAGAAGGAAAATTCACCGCAAGCAAGTGTGAGAGGGTGATGACGTTTATATCCTTCTACGACCAGTGCACAACGATTTACGATTTCCCATTCGAGCATATACGTGAAAACAGCTGGACGCAGTCAATACCACCCAGGAAATCAGAACTCTTTTCGCTTGTCTACAGATTCTTGCGACGGCCTCTCTACCCGTTTGTTCTGCCCTTTGCTGGCTTTGTTTTCCTGGGTGCAGGTAGATGTGGGTGGAGTCTGAGAGGACTCTGTAATGCAGCACACCTGTTCCATGCTGCTGTCAGCATTCGTTTGTATTGTATTGTATTCTAGACATATCTGAATTCATACTCAACACACACACACACACAACACTGCATTACACACTGACGTCCTCACAAGCACAAAAGCATGACATTTAGTAATTTAATTAAAATGTATTGCATAACATTGCCGACTATGTGTGGTTTCCCTCTTCTGTTGCATACTACTGAGCCAAGTTTTTTGCATTCTTCCTTCATCAGAGCATGTGTTTTTAGAGATTAGTGAAGAGCTAGAAAAAACAGGAAAAAATACAAGGTTTTATAAGAGATCATCTCTTCGCAGTCTCTATTCCAAAATATGTAATGACTTTAAAATGCCATGCTCCCCTCTCTCCCCACACCCCACAGTGTCGCTTTAAAACAATACTAGCGCTCCATTGTTTCCATCCTGCGGTGGTAAAGCGTTAAACCACTACTCCAAAACAAACAGACTGGAAAGCAGATGGTAAGATAATAAGATGAAGTTTCATCCACATCCAGTGTCTATCAGTCGGTTTAAAATCAATTGATCAAACTGTCAAAGGTTCATGTGAAGGTA